GTCAAGTTTACCATGGTTACACTTACCATAGTTGCACATGTCTCTTATACACATCTAGATGTATGTAAGAGACTCCCTCGTCCTCTCTCTCTCTCTCTCTCTCTCTCCTCTCTCTCTCTCTCTCTCTCTCTCTCTCTCTCTCTCTCTCTCTCTCTCGCTTCTGTTCTGTACCATTGTCTGCCGCTCCTGAGTGACGGACACGTGTATCTCATCCAAATTATGCACATAATTAGCAACAACAACAATAAATACGGAGATCATAATCGGATGCGTCGTCGTCGCTTGTTCTAATCAGCAGTAATAAAAAGATCCATACCTTTCTCCGCCTTTTGGCTAAAAATAGATGAAGTGTAGTATCTGTTCTGTTCTGATCAGTGTAATATCTGGTCTTTTTTCTCTTTTCCTTCTTTTTAATAATATCTGATCTGTGATCCATCGGGCCACGTTAAAAGGGAAAAAAAAAGAGAGACTGATACCGATCAGGAGGTGGGTGAATCTGACCGTCGAGACATAGGTATTGTGCTGTGCAAGTAATCGTAGCCTCACGGTCGAGCATCCGAGCTGGAGATAGATAAACAGACGGGAGAGAGAGAGAAGGGAGAGGTGGTGCCTGCAAGACAGCAGCAATGATGTTTAAAAAGGAGGGAGCCTATACGACCTTCTGTTTCCCGTCTGCGGATGGACAGTGGGAAAAATGGCATCCGGATTGGCATAATTGTAGTCGCCTATTCCCAATTTGCCATGTGTGAAGCCTTCCGCGTGCGGGAAACAACACGTGACAAATTGGGACAGAGAAAGGCGTGAGCCCAGAATGTGGTGTGAGCGCAGGAGAAAGGCGGAGGGAGAAAGGGTTAGCCGGACGGAATGTTCTCAGTTTTCCACATCAGCCACACCTTGTCACCTATATCTTGATAAGTGGCCTGCCAGCGAATCGCAGGCATGGTCAATCAACGAATCCTACCCCTCCTCAGCTGCTTGTTCTGCGTGCTAGCTACCTTCTCATGCCCCCCCCCCCCAAAAAAAAAGTATCGTGTGCCCACGTGGATGCTTC